CCGCCGCGCCGCAGCCCCATGTCCGCGCTCCCCACCGGTGCCGACATCAAGAGGGCTCTGGAGAACAGCCCCGAGACCAACATCGAGGATGAGCTGCCCGACGGGCCGCCGCAGCCGCGGCCCAAGAGCTACCTGCTCCTCAGCATCCTCGCCTGCTTCTGTCCCGCTTATCCTGTCAACATCGTCGCCTTCGTCTTCGCCGTCATGGTGAGTAGCACCTACTGGGTGCCCAGGCGACCTTCGGCTTGGGGTGGGTGTTTGGCGGGGCGACTTGCGGCTCTCCGCGCCGGCCCAGCCGGGACCTGCAGGAGCAAAGCGGGGCTGCAGGAGCCGTCAGGGTAACGGGCATCTAGCCGCCTTTTTAACCACTTGTGCCCGGTGCGTGTGGACAAAGTTAGATGAGGCAGTGAGCCTGAGAGCATCAGCGGCTCGGTCAGGGTGTCCACTTAGCTATCCCAGCAGCAGATATAAAATGTGGAGTTAAAGGCAGTTCAAATCAAGTTTTCAGTGTTAGGCTATATAAGGAGGGAAGTTTATCCCAATTAATAGGATTTGTTGCATCAACTAACTTGCATACTGAATTGGACGTAGTATCTTTGTGTGAAAGTGGCAACTGGGGAGCAGAAATCAGGTTTGCAAAGGAAAAGGTGTGGTTTCTACTTCAGTTAATCAAATATGATAGAAATGCCTTTTTTCCAGTAAACAGGTTCTTTAGCCTGATACCAACTATTTGCTAGAATAATACAGACAACAATAATGATTGTAGGTTGTTGGCAAAAACCCTCATAAAGTTGAATATCGAGTACACCGAGAGAACAGCCTTAGTCCTACAAACTGTGATTGATTTGCATAGTCGTTAACAATCCAGCAATCCCGTTAACTTCAAAGGGATTGTTAGAACAGAATCTTCTTTGAGTTAGAAGTTGCAGAGTCAGATCCAGACTTTTCTAATAGGATACATGATCAGTGTAATCAGTAATACTGCGATGTATTTCTGTTTAGGAGCTGAAAAGGGTTTAAAACATGTTGTGTATTTTCATCCTTTTCTCTGACAGCCAGGCTGAAAAGGTAAGTAAAAATATAGTTGTTTCTTTTTGCAATTAAGTATAACTGCCTATATCTAAAATATACTAAAGCATACTCTTTTAAAACTAGTAAGATTGATCAGAAATCATACCTAATATTGGGATACATGCTTAAGCTTGGAAATTACTTAAAGGAGCTATTCTAAAGCCATCTTCACAACCTTTTTTGTCCAGATAAGTATTAGCTGTCATTTTATTTTTTTTCTATGTGTTTATTTTCTTTGTTGTTAATTTAACTATACAATATGCTCTTTTCCTTGGGTTGAGAAGATTTGGTTCTGCTGGTACACAGCATCCTTTGTGTATGTGGACACTTAGGGTGCTATATAAAGTAATGAGAGCTGATGATCTGGGGCTGTGAGCATCTGTTCACTGTGACAGTGCTTTCACCAAAGCACTGGGGCTGCGCGAAGTTAACTGTCAAGGACAGAATTTGGCCTCTAAAGATTTTTGCACCCCATATGGAGAAATCTCCACCCACGCCCTAGCTGAAGTTCATGCAGGCTTTTGGAATCAGGCTTAAGTAACTGTCACCAGGGGATATGTAGAAACCAGGGTGGGAAGAGCATTTCCTGAATGCTAAAGAGTCTGTGCAGGTCTCAGCTGCCCACTCCCGTGAAGGGGGGAAACAAAAACCAAACCAGTCATCTCCACTGTATGTGAATGCCTTCTGTTTCAGCATCATTCTTACCTAAAACCTCTCCTTTTCCATGAAAATAACATGTCCAACTTCTTTTCCACAGGCTGATTCCCCTGCCTTTGGAGCTGCAACCTGTAACTGCTCCATTAACCTCAACTCCAGGTTCTGCATTTTAACCTATGCTGGTATTATTTCCACTTCTGCTGGGATCTATGTTCTCCCTCTCTTTCTCAGCTTGTTTCCTAGCGTTGCTAAGGGTTGACACTGAGATACAAGAGTGGGTTCTTTTCTTACAGAAGATACCTTCATAGTCCGCAGAGCTTGCCTGAGATCTTGTGTCAGAAGAGGTAAAGACCCATAAAAGTGAAGTTCTTTATAAATTTCCACTTCCTAGAATGGGCCTGGAAGGAAAAGTCCTGTCGGCTTCTAGAGGGGCATGGTTCAGCACCCTGTTTGCCTGTGTCATGTCCTCCTTAAGTGTTCTCAATTCAGACAATGTTTTCACTCTAAAAGTAGAGTCTGGGCTCTAACACACCCCTGAATTAAATGACAGATTTGTCTTCAGTCTCTTCTGCTGCCCCATTTACAACTCCAGCACTGGTTTCCTCACTTCTTTCTCACCTTTGGGGGCACAAACCTTACCATTTCAGATCTTACCTCCTTGATTACGTTTTTAGAATCGACCTCTTCTAATTTCTCCCTATTGTGATAATAACCTTTTCTTGTTCCTTACCTCCTTTGCGAAAGAAATGTTTCTCATGACAGGTAAGAGGATAGCTGGTAGAATGAATGCTTAATGGCATCAGTGTGTTCATATAGTGGTATTACAAGAGCAGCCCCCTCAAACTAGTTGCTGGTCACTTGCAGGTGTGAGGGTTGCTTGGCACTTTTAACAAATGGAGATCTGTCTTCCCCAGGGTCCTGGCCAGAACTCCTGGCTGTAGGATTACTGTTCTCCTCAGTACTCTTCTGCAGTTCCAGCCAGATGCTGTCAGTTCTCCTGCTTCCTGTTGCTTCTAGTAGCTATATCATGTTGCTGTATGATTAGTTGGCTCACTCAACCCCAGAGGTGCCTCACTCAGATTTTCCTTATTCTTTCTCACATAGGTGAAACCACAGGCATCGGGGCAGGAGTGTGGGGTGCAGTACCAAGTCAGGAGGCTCATGTGACAGAAGAGACTTCTCTGGTGCAAGGCTGTGGCTAGGCAGTGTGTCACTGAGCTCTTTGGCTCGTTGTCTGCGGTTGTGTCTTTTCCCCCTGTTGTGAACCCAAAGAGCACTTAGCTGGCAGTGAACTGGCAGTTGTGTCTGCGAACTGGCTCAGGTGGACTGGCTGTATCTGACTCATGGCATCAGAGCTAGAGGGAGGCTTTGGGACAACTCTGAAAAATGAATCGGTTGGGTATCTCTAATACCAGCACTGAGGTCTGATAGTTGAACAAACTGTTGGCCTTTCTCAGTACAGCACCTTCAGTTGTCTTTATTTCAAAGATCTGTATGTCAGACTAGTCATCTGATTCCACAGGGCCTTAGATTTGTAACAATTTCAAAACAGTCTCTCAAAAGCTATTTCTCCCTGATTGTTTGCTCCTAACTCCCTCTTTATGTTGACACATTTCTGTTTAATCATTTGCATGTTTCAAACAACATATGTGGTCAAGCTGTGACAATCTTGGCTCATCTGCCTCTGATAGTAACAAGTTCTTTGACTGCATTTGTTACCCTTGCATTCAGATGCCTTGTCTGTATATTAGTTTCCCTAAGCAGAAACAATGAGCAAGAGGGTGGTAGAAGTCATGGGAGAGCAAAGCATGGAACTTGCTTTCTGAGGGGGTCACCTCTTCTAATTGGGATCCTAAAGAGCCATGTACAGTGTGTTGGCTTTGGACAGGTCAGTGACTAGCATAGTGACCAGTGTTCTGGTACAGCTGTACTTCTCTTTAGTTGGAAAATTTATTTGCAAAGTTTATTATTTATACAGCTTGGTTTTTAAGTAGCTTGTACGTACCTGGACATCTAATACCATATGGGACAGCCTGTAGCTACTTCAGAAGTATTAAACAAGAAGGCTCAGCAGCTGTTCTTAAGCATTTTGCATGGCCCTTGTCTTTGCAAACTGGTAAGCTTTTCTCTTTCAACCTGTCCCCAGAGATACAGAAGTCCAGCGTTTGTTTGCATGCTGCTATACAGCCTGCAGAGCAAACTCCCCTTGCATTGTGTCCTGCTCATCACCTGCCTGTTCCATTTGCCAAAAAGCAGAGATCAAGCCTGGTTCTGAATTGCTCCCTGAGTCCCCCCTCTTTTTTGTCCTTCCCTGTACGTTGTTCTCATGGTGAGGAGTCATACTGAGCCAGCGTGTCTCGTTCTTCCTTTGATCTGAACTAGAGAGAATGTCTCATTTCCAGGCACAGCCATATAAGGTTTGTTACAGCCTGGCTCATGGAAAGCATAGAAAATGTTGATCAGAGAACCTCAGTCTGGTCTGCCCACATTTGTAAGACACGTAGAGGAGGATTTCTGAAGTAATGCAGTACTCTTTCTGCTTTGGCTATAAACGGTGCTCTGGGAATGTGGAACAGAAAACGCACATTATAAAGGGATTAATAGTTTGTAGCTAATTGAGCAAATTTCTGTTCATATGAGGTTAAGTAACTTCATTGTTGAACTGAGAATATCTTTTATAAATAGATGTGTGTGAACCTGGTGAAGTCACTGAGATTGCTCAAGTAAATAAGCAGCTGCGGAACTGTGGCTTTAATTTAGTTTATGACTTCATAGTGAGCGAGGTATTAGAAACCTGAGAAATCGTATGGTATTAGGTTGAAAATGGCTAAAATTTGTTTTAAAAGTTGGACAGACCAAACGTTGCATACAGATGCTGTATTCTGTATATATTGCCTAGCCCTTGGAAATAAACAGATGTAACGTTTAAGTTAATGTTGTCTATGTCTAACGTTGAAAACTGGAAGCTTGATCGAAGGGCCCTTTGAAGCAAATGGAAATAAATTAATTTCAAAGAGCTTTGCCTCGGACCCCAACCACTCCCCCAAACCTCTTATTTTTTCTTGAATGCTAAGTTATGCCATTTAATTTAAACCTCTTAATAAAGAAACTGTTGTCTCTTCCTTGTCTGTCCCAAATCCTCCTCTTTGTCATTAATGCTGTTTTCCTCCTCTTCATCGTGGATTTATATTAAAATGGCATAATTTATTAAAGTGCACAGGGTGAATTATTTATGCGGTACCTGCAGAAAATCACATGGACGTTCTCCAGACTTCCTAAATACATTAGTAAAATTGCACAGAAGTGCAAGCTTGTGCTGCCATGTCTTGCTTACAGCTCTGTCTTAGTCTTGAGATGACCACATGTATGGGCAACTGAGTTTAGAGTGTTTGCAGGACCACTCTCTAGATGTCATGGAAAGTGAGCCCTTTGATGGGTGGGGAGAACAAAGTCAGGGCTGGAGTGTCAGTGATGCTTCTCCATGTTTCTCCCTGTAAACACAGTCACATTTATAGTTGCTGACAGAGGCAGGAGGAGTCAGCCTGCTCAAGACTAAGCCAAGCAGTGTTTCTTCTGATACTCCTTTTATTGACCTTCCCGAATGTATTTTGAGAAAACCTAAGAAAGCTTTTCTCCTGTAGACGGGACTGCTCAGGAAAACAGTGGAGTAACTTAGGTGAGAGGAACTGTGCCAGCCACCCTTTGTAACAGGAGGCCGCACTGGTGAAGAATCAGAGGTGACATCATCCTATTTGATTGTGTGTTTGTGTCTGTCTCTCATTTCCATCTCTTCCTTCTTTCCCCCCTATATCCTTTAAGGCCACTAGCCAACATCAATGAAATTTGACAGCAGAGCAGTGGTATTAACGGTATTCTTTAGGGAAAAAAATATAGAGAAATGTTTAGGCATGTAGCCTTCCAGGAAGAGAAAAAAAGTATCAGTGCTCTCTTTAAGGGCAAGAGTGCATCAACAGCTCAGCCTTTCTTAGACACCAGAGAATAAGTACCTGCACTTATCCTTGAGATGCAATTCTAAGAATATAGGCTTCATTGCTTTGGGACTGTCTTGGCACGAGTGATCTTACTGCAGAGCTAACACCAAGGATGCATCTAGCCCATTAACTTCCGTGTGCTCACTAATCGACAGAACACACGCAGATAATGTCCCTAATTATTTTTCTGCTTGGGAAGAAAGGCTCTGCAACAATGCTTGGTATCTGCTGAAGTTCATTCCTTTCCTGCTCTCCACAGTCTCAGAACTTTGACAAGTATCAGTGAAGAAAGGCTGAGAGAGTTGGGGTTGTTCAGCCTGGAGAAGAGAAGGCTCTGGGGAGACCTTATTGCAGCCTTTCAGTACTTAAAGGGGGCAAGAAAGATGGGGACAAGCTTTTTAGCACACAACAGTGAGACAGGACAAGGGGTAATGGTTTTAAACTAAGAGAGGGTAGATTTAGACTAGATACAAGGAAGAATTTTTTTACAATGAGGGTAGTGAAACACTGGCACAGGTTGCCCAGAGAGGTGGTGGGTGCCCCATCCCTGGACACATTCAAGGTCAGGTTGGACGGGGCTCTGAGCAACCTGATGTAGTTGAAGGTGTCCCTGCCCATGGTAGGAGGGTTGGACTAGATGACCTTTAAAGGACCCTTCCAACCCAAACTATTCTATGATTCTGTGAACTTCACCCTGTTGAATTAGCTGTTGTTCTGTCTTTGCTACAAAAAGCGATTCATAACTAAAGCACTTTTGTTATAATACTTGGTGATACCTCATGCAGTCATTTTCTAAAGACTACCTGAATTATTTAGTCCACAGAACAGTTAATTTGATCAGGTCCCCGTACTTCTCCCCCTGCACCTCCCATTTCTGGGATACTTCCTGGAATACTCATGAGATACTGAAGAACAGGTTATGACTAACCTGATTCCCTGAGGAAGTATGCTGAGATAGTTCAATAGTGCAATCTGATAAAGAAATCTGGTTTATGAACTCAAATTCTCCTGATCTTGCAAAATAATTCTTAGTATAATACTCCTTTTTAAAATTCTTCGATAGCATCTTATTCTTGGCAAAAAGTTACTACAAACTGTGTTAGACTCATGTACTAGAATACTTCAGTGTCCTTCACTGAATCTTTTCTTTTAAAAATATGGTCTGGTTAAAAGAATAATTCAGAAAATTCTACAGTCTGTCTCAAAAAAGACTAGAAGATCAGAGTGGTTCTATCACACCTTGCAATCTCTGCATGTAAAGAATATAAAACATCTGCTAAATCATGGGTGGATAGAGATAAACTCAAGTCTGTTGACATAATATCCGTATGCGTGATGCACACCTCAGGATGTATATGATAATAATTATCAGTGTGTTCCAAAAATGCAAAGGGACAGAATTTCTAGCCCATGAAGATGGCACTCAGATGTTTTGTTCAGATGATCTATGTTTCATTGTTTTGGTTTTTTTTCTACCACAAGCAAACTACCTATTAATTCTTCAAACTTTGTTGTGAAAAGTAAAACATTGGAAAAATAGGAAATTAGTAAGCTGCTTTTAAGAAGTTTTCCTGAGGCTTTCTGTAAAAATGCAGCCTATTTATGCTCCTTTTCATGGTCCTATAAAGTGTAAGAGTTGTCCCGATCCAATGTCGGGAGAGGTTTCGATATGATCCCAAGAGCGAGGTTAAGACACAAACGAGGTCAAGTGCCACATACCCTAAACAACTTTTTATTATCAAAAGTAAAAATTAGTAGCGACAGGATAGATCAGAACAAAGATAGAAATCAAGCAAGCATTCGGAATAGAGTTGCAAGAATAGTCACCACCGTGGATCCGCAGCGTCCCGGGGGTCCAAGTCTTTCAGCGTTTCGGCAGTGGGCGGTCGCAGCAGGGTCCCCGGTCGGCGACGCGTGCCAGGCTAGTCTTGGCGGTCCCTTTTATTCCTGTTCAAGGGCTGTAGTTTCCATGGCAACGGCACATTGCTACATTCCTGTGCTCAACTGAGTCTTGCACACAGCGCAGCCCCTGCAAACCGGAGGTCTCCGTGGCCTTGCAAGCTGCTCTTACCGTATTCAGAGCAATCTTTGAGACAAGTGTTCTACAGTTCAGTCTCTCACACGTATTCAGAGGATATTTTGCTTAGATAAGCAATCTTTGAGATTAACGTTCTACAGTTCAGTCTCTCACAAGAGTGTATTTCACTGCTAGTGAAGTGGCTAACTAACAGTTCACATATACTACAAAAATAAAAGCCACTGATTTATGTAAGTGGGTGGAGTAGAGTTGATTTGACAGCTCGTATGCTGGTGTGTACAAGAAAACTCATCATACGAATATAGACTCGCCACTGAAAATAAAAGAACTGTAGTTGCAATGACATGTACTGAAAATGAGTGGAACGGAAAACTGGACTCCCTGCTTACCTTGGACTGTCAGCAGTAGATGTTTATTTTTACAAAGCAAATCACCATTTTCTGAAGTCCTTTCTTCCAGTACCAACGTGCACAGAACTTAATGTTAGTTCAAAGCAGTCACACTGGTTTGTGTACAGATTTCTGTTTAAAAAGTGTCACAAACGCTCTGTTTCTCTTCTACAGGCTTTAAACAGTTATAATCAAGGAGATATAGAAGGGTCAAAAAGACTGGGTCGCAATGCGCTGTGGGTTGCTGTTGCATCAATTATCATTGGCCTTGTCATCATTGGAATCTACTGCGTAGTTCATTTCACAACGGTAAGTAAAATGCTACTAGTTCCAATGCAAGCAGTTCTTCTTTGTGCACAGGCTTCAGAATAAGAAACTAAAGATTGTCAGAACTATCTACTAATGTTAAAATTTAGGGATGCATGCATGTTTTCCAAAAGAACAATTTTTACTTACTTTGTAATTTAGAAAATTCTATTGCCTGTGGTTAAATGCAAAAGACTGTGTCTTAGCAGCAGTGGATTTTCTGAAAACTCTTGCAGCTCCCATAGGTTTTTCCAATTTAGGCCCCTTGCTTTTTGCTTTTTCTGCCCCTCAGTTTCACCATCTGCAAGGCCAAGTGCATAGAGATCCCTAGGTTTCAGGTAATAGACTCCCCAGGTGCTAATTTTAAGTCTCATAATCTGTCCAATATATCTTTTACCTTTGCAAGGCAAAGACGACAGTCAATTACTATTTTACTGCAGGGAAGTTAGTGGAGATGGGGTCCATTTCTGTAGGATGTTATTTGATGGTGCCCCAGAATCAGAAGCTTGCTGTATATATATTAATTCCCCATGCATTTTGCAAGCATGAATCTCTCTTTGGTTCAGCTTGCGTTCAGTTTGTTCAGCGCTCACAGATTTAAAACCAAGCCACTTCAGGCTGGCTGTGCCAAGTTTGTAATTGGCAGCAGCAGTAAATTCCTCTGTTTGCTTCTACTACCTCACTCATCATTTCTCAGACAAGGATAGCAGCTCAATATTTTTTTTTTAAGTAGGAGGAGAGAAGGGGCAGCATGAGGAGTGGCAGACAACACTGACCTGAAGCATTCACATTAACCAGGGCACACTACCTACATTTAGTTGTAGTCAACATTTCACTTCTACAGTAGGATCCTGTGTGCTGAATGGGTGAATGCTTCTTTGTGCCCACCGCCAGATATTAGTGGTAGTTAGCACTTTACATCTAGCTACTATTTGTAAGCACCTCTCTCTCCCCTACCCTTAAGGAAGTAAGCAGCAGTAAATCAGTATAATATGACTTTATGTTTTTTTCTTAAGTTTTGTCTTTTAAGGATTTTTTAAATTAGTTTTCGTTTGGGTTTTTTTCTAAGAGAAAAATCTCTGTTAGATGGAAGCATTCCCAGGTGCCTAGGAACCCTCAGCACACTGCTGGGATATTAATTTCTGTACTCGGTGAGTAATTTCCATAAAGGTCTCTTAGCCAAATGGTACCTTGAGTTTTGTGAGGACTCAAGATTTACTGGATTCACCCTGCTCTCTGGCGTTCCAGTCTCTTCACTACTCCCCTTCTCCCTCTCACCTGTCACCCTCCAAAGAGCCCTTGCTTCTAAGAAAGTGTTTGATGGGAGCAACAATCATCTTTATTCTTCTGATGTGAAAATGAGTGAACAGGAGCACCCAACTGGCCATTCCACCCTCCATGCTTACCTGAGTCTCCTTTGTTACCTTACTCCTGGACATCTGTATTTCATGCTAAATTGTCTTTGAGGTTGACATGCCACTGGTGTGGATGACATTGCATGCTCCATGCAGTTCTCTCACATCCATTTGTACCTAGGTCATGATTATTTACTAACAACCAATTGTACTCTGCCAATGTGAAGCGAGTGTAAAGTACTTCTATGCTAACTTTAATATATACGCTCAGTAAGATAGTACAAAATAGCCTTAATAGAATACTTTGACAGTCAGCCCTGTAACTGATTTATTTGATGACCATTAGGTACAGATTTGATGTTTACGTGACCTACACATGCATTTTTCCTGAAAGTTAATTTAGACTTCAGCAATATGTATGAAAAGCTTGACTCTTCCAGGATGCATTACTGTGTGTTTTATCCGTGTGAAATTCATCAGCTACCATGTTACCCAGTTGCTCCTGCTGACATTCCTTGTGGCTTCTTTTGGTCTTCAAAGGATAACAAGTCTTATTGCAAATTATCATTGGGAGTACCCCCTTGTATTCTGCTTCCATATTCTTATGTATCACTCCCTAGAGCTTCTTGTTTACCATCCTACATCCCATTTCTAATCTGTGTTAGTACTTTATCTGTTCTCCCATGGTTGCTAGAGCTTCTCACAGAGGGTGTTACTTGAGTTACAAAGAGTGTTACCCTTTGACAAATTTCAAAACTAGCTCGTTCTGATTTATCCGTGGTTCTGCTGATGGTATCAAAGATGCAAGGTGTAATGAGTTTGAGGGCTGAATGAGCCTCGGAAGTTCTTCCACAACGTCCCAGGTCTGTGCTTCTGGAAAGCAACAAACCTGAGACGTCCAAGTCAGGTTGGCAGGAGGGAATCTCTATCAATTGTTACGCAACTTTTCCTCTTGGTACAGAAACTTGGTTCAGGCTCATCTGGCTCTGAAGTCTCCTTCAAAACAATTCACCTTCTCCCAGGGGGCTGGCTATGCATGATCTGCAGACCAAGAAGGAACCTTCCTTCTTCTGCCAGAAGTCACAAACTTCAGACCTTCCCCATCATGGAAGTCTCCATTTAGTTATTTTTCAGTTATTAGTCGTTCATCCTTTGCTTTGTGGAGCTCAGGCACTTCCCTACCCAAAGTCTCTGTGAAGACCCGTTGGTCTCCTGTTTGTACACCCTGATGGTCTGCAGTCTGCTCACCTCTCCTGAAGCCCTTTTCCCTGGAGACTTAGTGCTTCAGTCAGAGTACAGCTCCCACCAGAGAGGCCACAAACATCTCAGCCCCAAAGACAGTCAGCAGGCACTCCCTGCAGCTGCAACCTGGACAGCTACATCCTCCTTCCAAAGCTCCATCTAGGTCAAAGCATCCCATATGCCAGGCAGTTGCTCCACCACTTTTGGGGACTGTGCCCTGTGGCTTATCAATACCACTGTTGCACAGTCCCAAGCAGTCCCCTGTTGTCTTCAACAGAGTTTCTGGGTCCCCTGTGCAAACTCACAACTTAATTGCTAAAAACCTTCTTTGCCGCGCTTGAGCATCTCTCATTGAAACCACTGCAAATTGAACACTCAAATACTTCTCCATCTCCGGACCCAGATTCCTTCAGCATTCACCGGAAAGTAATTTTATTTGGTTCTAGAAGACCAGTTCAATGATGTCAGTGCCTAACTTTCTGAATTTCAGTAGCCTCTGAGTATCAAAACTCACATGCCCTATTAAAAATTCCAACCAAAGTTATCCATTTGTTCCCACATCTCCTCTTCTGGCTTTTCAGTACCCAAACCTATTATGTGTTCTGTCTTTCTTAGGAAAGGGGTTAAGTCCTGTGCTTTAAGCAGAGCTGAGGAGAGCTCCCGTGGTACTCCACATGCCTCAGCCAGGAGAAAAACGTCTAGTCAGGGGTGTTGAGGGTAGACATGGTAGAAGCTGCAGAGGGAGGAAGTGCAAGAAATTCCTGCTTTGAACAAACAGTGACATTATACCCCCAATTATACCCCCAGTAATACTGGTAGACTCGGGAAGAGGAAGACCCATTCACTTTTCAGAAAATTCCTACCTCTGATCCCCAAGCTTCCTTGCATGACTTTTTTGGTTTATTCAGTTGCAGAGCAACGGTAGCACAGGAATTACAGCAGGCGACACCTACATCTGCATGGAAGAAACAGCCTTGACTTTTCATTTTGAAGATTTACTCAGTGCTAAGCCAACTCTGGGCTTCTACTGCTGCCTTGGAGAGCCTCATTTGTCTTTAACACTGGCATGTTATCTTTAGCAAACATACATTAAGATACATAGTGATACATAGATATATATATAGCCTGGAACAGGGCCCACCCAACACTTGGGAACCATCTACCTTCTGCAGTCATGACCCTGAATGTAGACAAGGGGAAGCCGTCACTTGCGTCACTGGAGTTAACAGCCCAGCAATAAAACTTGTCTGTCTTGATGAACGTAAACTGGTGTGTTCCTCGTTATGCTGAGGAATCACTGAGTGTTAAGCCGCAGTGTGTGCTGAATCAGGGCTGTCCCCCGTTCCACACTAGGCCAAATTTATTCTTACTCTATTCTGTAACTTTGACCCTCTCCTGTCCGTTTCTCCTGCGCTCCTACCTTGTCAGTCCTGAATGCTGAATTACACTTACGTGTGTCACCACTGAGTCTAGCCCTGCATATGCGCCCATAGACATGTTGTCCATCAAGAATTGCAGTGAGAAAAGGGACATCTTTGTCTTCCATAAGGAGACATTGCTACGAACTGAAACAGTGCAGAGCTGTGTGCCATAGCCTGCGTGTGGCCTTAATCTGCTGTAGTATGCCTGGTTAGAGAGTAAATGGCAAGATACCTAATGACAGACAACACTGAGTTGTGAACCACATCCTGAATCCTGCTTCTAGTTCTGATGTCCTTGTCTTAAGAAAGATGTGGTATACACACACACACAAAACAAAGAGAAGGGTGGCAAGGTATGAAAAAAACTTTATATGTGGAAAGACAAAATAGACACAATCTCTTTGGAGATTGGGAGAGAAAGACTTAGGAATTGGTAGTTAAAGGCAGCGAAATAAAGAGTGATCGTTTGTTGTCTCTTACGAATGAGGTAAAGAGGCATCAGAGGAAAGCAGCTTTAAACAAGGAGGTACTTTTCCATGTGACATACAGTGCAGTTGTGGGACTTACTCCTTCTGGTTGCTGTGGATACAAAAAATACAAATGATTTGAAACAGCAACAAGTGAAGTTACAAAAAAAAAACTTAAATGCAAAGGTGCAGATGTAATCTCGGGCTCAGAAAGTTTCTAAGCTGCAGATTGCCAGAGCTGGAAGGCAATAAAGGGAGGAATACCACCCTGGACTTAGCCTTTTCTTATACAGTCCCTTTAGGCATTTGTACCATGTCAATGTCAGAGATGGGATGCTGCGAAGATGGCTGTTTGCTCCGACCCAGTACCACTATTCTCATGCTCCTTCATGAAGCCTTTAGCAGCCTTTCTACTGACTGGAATGGATTTGGAGTCAGCCTTCCTGTCTCTTGCTAAGTATTTTGATCAGCAAAAGCTAATAATTTTTTCAGTGAATGAGGGTTCTCCAGTAGTTCACGATCTGTGTTTTCAGAGCAGTCTCCAAATTTTTGGAGCAGATTCCAAATTCTGTTTTGTTTTGCTTTTTGATAACATAGATGCTTTGGTATCTTTGGATTTCATTTGAGTCCCACTGGCAGATTCAGGGAAACATAATCCTGGGCTGGAACCTCCTTAGTTAAGTGAAGGAGACCCCAGGTATCCCAAACCCTGTTCTTAACCCTGGGTTAACATGTCATATTCTACCACGGGAATCATGCATTCTTATTCCATTGCTGGGTTTGCTGCATAGCCTGTTAGTAGTCTGAAACAATACGCAGCTTCTTACAGCATGTACTTTTCGACTGCCTCTAGTGTCTGAGTGACACTTGACAATGCTTTCTCAGGGCAGAACTAGAGCTCACATGAGTTTGGCTTCCCAATTGAGCCACAAAGCATATCATGTAAAGCCCATGTCTTTTGTGCACCTCTAGTGGTTCTCTGCAGTCTAGGCAAGTAGGAGTGAGTCAAGTAGAAATGTGGAGAACTAGTAAGAGGTGTTAGAGTGAAGTAAAGACACAAGCTTTTCTGTAGAGCTCTGACTGACATAGCGACAGTTTTGGTCTGAGGAATGGTAGCCAAAGTATTGAAGGAAAGGAACGCAAGAAAATCCTGCCAGTGGACCAGTGTCCAAGACTTTTTTCATTCACATCAGAAGTTCATTGTCTTTGTTTATCTTGAACCCCAGGGCCACAGGCAGGGTAGAATTATCTTCTGGTAATAACTTATGTGAGAAGGGTAGTCGTGCTTGGTGACTTTGGAATTTCATACAAACCATTACGATATTTTAATGCTTTCATAGAGGAGTCTGAACTTCTGACCCCTTCTTTAATCTCACTTGATCTAGAACTTCACCCCAAGGAAGTCACAGAAATACCGCCTGTCAGCGTGGCTTTGTAGGAAGACAGAGAGACAGCCAGGCTGTGCAGAAAGTACCAGCTTATACTGTTTCATGATCAGTAGGGTCTTAAATCAAGCATATGTGCAGTAATGCAACATTGGTAATTACTGGTAGAAGGAAAAGGAGTAAGCATTTAGGCTGTGTACCAGGGACAGATGTATACATATATTTTTCTTACTAAGTTGTAAATAATTTTTCAGTAGGAAAAGCATGCAAGATTATTTTTCATATCTCTGCTGTCCCCTTCCTGAGGCTCTTAAAAGCCTTTGCAGCCATTTCACTGAGTGACTGTCTCTCTTTCAGAAACAGAATAAACTGAGGGCCAGCCTGATGACAGGAATTACACAGCCAGCCTCCCAATCTTCACATTGCCAATCCTGTTCTCTGTACCTTACCATAGAAAAAAAGTCCCATAAGCTTTTTGCTGCAGGGATTGACCTGCCAGTAACTGGTAGAGCACAAAGATTGAAGTCAGGGCATTCCTATTGTCTTTTACCGACATTAATTCTTGGTGTCCACCTAGCCAATGAGCTCATACTGCTGCTTTTCTATCAGTAAAGGCCCTAACTGATTATCTGCTTGATAGCCTGCCTCTTCTTACTGGATTTGTAAAACTGTACGAGCTTAAAATCCTCTACCTGTCTCAAACGTGTTCAGTCAGCTCAGAGGCTGAGTAGTCGGCAGACATGTAGATGCACAGAGGCAATGTGATTACATCAGCCTAATTTCCTTAGCAAACCACATTAAAAATTCTGGTCCAGTTGTTTCATCTGTGCATGGAGGAAATGTCCCCACAATAGATTCTGCCTGTTGGAGTCCTGAGTAGCATCCAAGAGACAATCAACAAAGGAGTTAATGCTGTCTGCAGGATATGTTTACTGTTTAATGCCTCATGTCCTAGATCCCTCTTTAAGGAGCTGCTAAAAGGTAGCTGCTTAACAGAAAAGGTATCTCAGGACTGCAGCAGAGAGCCCAGCATCCAGGGACAAGCCAGTGAGATCGGTACATTCATGCGTAATGTCTGAGACCTACCCCCAATGCAAGAATTTGAGGGAATTTCTCAGATCTTTCCTCTCCTAACACAGATGCACAAGAGAAGTTACCCAGCCCTTTTACAATCTCTGTCATGTATTGCTGATACACCAAGTTGTCTACTGCTGAAAGTATTGTTCTTGCCTGTTTTATGTACCACTTCAAGGAAGCAGAGATGCTGTTGACCTCATGAAACTTTGTCAAATAAGAGCCCATTTCCTGGCAATGAAAGATCCTAACTTGCATTGATTCAGGTAACCCAGTTTAAAAATTCAGTTCAGATTGACAGATGACCATTAGAAACTTAGCTCTTTGATTCAAAACTGTATTGAACCACTAATCTAGAGGGATGTTTGTTAAGAGAACAAGTACCACTAATGTGGCATAATGTATCCATTAGATCTGTAGAATTAATAATTTAAACTCACAAGGCAAACTCTGTCTTTTCCTCCTTTAAAAATACGTATTTCTGTGTCCTTGCAGCATGCTATTTGAAGACCAGGACTGCACTTGGAGGATATCATCATGTAAATCTCAGGAGGGGAAAAAGAAGAGAAGGAAACCCTTCATTCCAGACTGTTAGATTTGACCCTACAAGTCTGCAGAGGCATGTTGCTGGTGGATGAACTGATAGTCCAGTTAGTTAATCGGCATGGCGTGACCAGGTTTTCAAAATTATTTATTTATAAGGAATCTCAGTATAAAGCAGCATTTTCTCTTTTACCCTAATGTATAATGAGATCTTGCCCTAACAACTCCATTTTCTTTCTCATTTACATGGAATGTATGCTGGATCCACGATGTTCCCTGGCTGACCCTAGCCAGACAAAGCCAACTTATCTAGACTGTTTATAGTGCACAGTGTAAGATTTGATGCACAGCCTGCTGAAGCTAGTAGAAGAACTCCTGTTGCCTTCAGTGGGTTTTGGATCAGGCCATTAAGGATGTTTTTTTATTTCTTTAAAATAGTCTCAACACAATCGTAACCATGGGTTTATGATTTTATCCTGCTATGTGATTTTCTAATGCTGTGGGCGTACTCTGACTCAGCAGCTGCTTTCTTCTGTCATCCTCAGCTTTTAGGTCTTTCCTTTGGATTTTTAACCACCTGGGACCGATTTCAATCACTTGATTATTAAGAGACACTCTTCTTCCATAGCATCCATATTTTTCTTAATGATTCTTTTTTTGTTTTGTTGTCTTTCATTGTTGAACTCCCTTGACTTAGCTCCAGTCCTTCATTAAAGTTGCACTGATCATATTTTCCTCTTTAAACTTCACGTATGTAAAAAGTTTCTGGTTTTTTTATCTGACAAAAGATCTTCTTTTTAAATAGATGTTCTTCTTCATCCCTTTGTTATTGTTCCTCTAGCAAGTCACATAGTTTCATTGTGTTCTGCTTTGTTCATGTCTTTTTTCATTTAGTTCATCCTCTCATCTTGCTATGAATAGTCTATATATCAATGCAGTTAGGGATGGACAGGCTTTTGTACCCTTATGGACAGTACCTAGACTCTTGCCCAAGATACTACTCGGTGAACAGCCTTAGATTACAGAATTGATAGCCTCTAAATTACTGCATTCTTGATACCTTATGAAAACTTAGCATGGGACAGCTGTTTTTGATTAGCTGAACACTCATTGAAACAATATATTTGTTTTGTCGCTCAAATATTCCATGTTAAAAGGAGTAAACTCTGGTGAGCATTAAGACAGATGGCTACATCTTCAGTGGTTGTTGCTCCATTTGCTTTAATTGTTACTACATCTTCAAGCAAGCTATGCCAACTTACACTTACTCTCCTTGCACTAACATAAATCTGGACTGACTACCCAGAAATGCATGGGAGTTTTGCAGGTACAAGTGAGAAAAAAATCATGCCTGGCAGGAGTACAACTATCTATTAAAAATAATAATAATCTCCCAGAAACCTTTACCTGTTAAAGCATATGCCTGGAAGTAGCATGTATTTTCTGTGCCTTGATATTATACTTTTAATGTGCTTTTTTGCTTTTCTTTCTGCCAAATTCTGTTTTTCATTGAAGTCAGTGATGCATCGTCTATCCTTAATTACTCCAGTATAAAAACTTCATGAACACTGGTGAAATCGGTTGATTTCTTCAGCATTTACACTGATCGAATTTGTCCACATGGGAATTTTGCCACTGATTTTGATGATCCCAAGAATTGGCTGTTCTGTGAACTCCTCTTTGGTTTTTTAATACTATATCAATGGTCTGATGTGTCTTGTGGGACTTTTAGTAGCTTGCCATATTATCAGATATGATAGAACTGTCATTGAGAAGTGGAATAAAATTACTTTTAATTCATGTCCATTCTGGTATGTGGGAAGTGTCTTTCCTAAGTTTTATTGCCTCTTCTATTTTAAAGAGTAATATCCCTTTTTCTAACCCCTTGGACAGTTTCAGAATAAAATGAATCAAAGCAAAACCAGGATTTCTGGCCTAGTTGATACTATACAACCAGTCTGTTATAGCTAGTACATTCAGAAGTTGCTAGAGATTAGTTAATGTTCAAAATATCAGCAAGGTAGGATCTTTGCTTCGTTTTCAAAATAGCTAGCCTTTTCAAAATGGTCTCTCGGTGGTCTCTTTGGAGCTTTCCTACCATGAGAGGAAAGTATTCAAATGAGGTCATCAAAGGAGGTCTCTCAGCAGGTAACAGATTGCAGATTTCCACCACCTTGAATTGCTGGCATCAAAGTAAACCCCATTGCATTGCTGTAGTAATAGTTTTTTACGTCAGTGTACTAAAAATCAAAGTGTGTACAAAAAGTTTCATCCTTCTGCGAAATATTAAACTCCAGTACTGTAAACTAAACCACAGCTAGTGGTGTGAGAGGGGAGAAAGATTTCCAAAGTTATTTGGGCACTAGAGGATAAGGATAGGCAACTTGAAATATTTCTTGAAAGTGCTTAACAAGGATTTAGATCAATAGGAGCTAGACACCTGACTTGTTCAGATGCTTTTGAAAACCATACTGGCAATCTAACTTGCATCTTGATGCTTATAAATATCTTTGAAGTCTCGCTCTTAATATAATTGAGAATTGAGCCATTGTGTCTTCAGTGCTTCTGAAGATAAATGTTGCTACCTTACAGTGCTATTGATTGGTATAAAAATAAAGGCTTTATATTAAACCACTTAATGTGACAGAGAGGGGAAAATGCAGCAATTCCTCTGAAGTCCTTTAGTGCTTCTATGTCATAGGTAATCTTATTTTTGCTTTACTAATGTACTGGTATCAGTTCTCTTCATTTATTTATGTTTGCATAAATTTTCAACCATGTTTGAGAAATGCAGTCAAATACAGCCTGTGCTGGAAATGAGTATGGTGCTTGTACAACCAAATCATTCTGTGTAGGTGTGACAGACCCATACAAAGTGAGGTGTCAAACATAGGGAAGCTAAATGACATTTCACTGCCTAAATCAGCAAGACCCTGGTTACAGCAGTGGGTGTGGAAGGGATAATGCAGTTGTCTGAGGAATTAGTGCCTGCTTTATATTTTGAGGGGCATAAAAACAAATTTCATTATCTATGACAGTCTCTGGAAATTAGCAGTTCTTCATCATCATGCATCTAGATTTGGATTTAGCCCATTATTACTCTGCATTGCACCTACCATTTTTTGGTGAAAAAAAAAAGACCTATTGTATGTATGCTCTGAATGATGTTATTGCATGAAATAGGGGGAAAAGCAGTAAAACGTATTTCAACTCAACATCTGTGTCCTGGGCAGATGAACAGTCTTCCTTCCACAAAGCTGCTCAAGGCTTCCATTTTTTGATGCAGTCTTCCTGCATGCCGAAGGCACCAACTAATGCCTGAAGTCCAGCTCTCTTTTCCTTCTTGCATGTATTATAGGCAGAGACAGATGGAAACGTGAAATTGCTGACCTCAGCTCCTGGATCATGTTAGCATCTTTTGCTTCTTACAGGGCAGCTGCATTCTGCAAAACAGCAGTGTGCATGTATCTTGATATGTAACCCTAGAAGAGGGCTTCTAAATATAAGAGGAGTTTCTTTGCTGCCGTATGAAGGGGGTCAGCCAGACGCTTAAACAACATGCAGTGTATGTTTCATCAGATTGCACAGCAAAAAAAAACCAAGGGGACAATATGAAATTAAATTCTTAGGGTGCTTCTCTGCAGGCACACCCAGGAAGTTTACAGCTTGTGACTTGAAGATTAGCACTGGCTCTTCAATTTATGTGGTTGCAACCACAATCCATGAACAGTGTGGCTCGAGGCTCCAGAAGCTGTTGCTTTTGTAGCTGTATCTTTGGATATGTGCTCACAGTGTGAACTGTATTCTGCCTCTCAGCCTAAAGATAGGTTATATCTGATTGCTACCACAGTGTCCATCACTCTCAGAATCAGTCCAGATGCATCTGCTGGAACAGTGTGCAAGCATCTCTCTCTGGGCTCATTTCCTTACCTGGACCCTAACTTTGTCAACCAGTTATTTAAGATGGATTTTGTTACTGATTTGCATCAGTAGGGGAGAGACTGGGTCATCTTCCCAGTTAGTTTTTACTTTGTGTGCATTGTGTGTGCACACATGCACAAGAGGATGCATTTGAAGGACTGGATTCCCCAGGGCAAGTAAGATTTAAATACAAAGAAAGTCACTGGATTGATTCGGGGCCAAGCTGGTAAGACACATCCTGGTTACCTGGCAGCTGTTCAGGAGCCTTTATAGAATGTGTTGTTTCATGGATGGAAGAGTCCATATCGCCAAACCTTCACTCCTGATAATGGGGTAAACTAAGAGGAAGTTGAATAGATGGGGAACCTACCCTGACTTCGGAGGAGATACCTCCAGGCAAAGTCAAAGACATCAGAAGGCCTGTGCAGGGTGGTCTGCATAGCTGCTGCCTAATCCACAGCTCTTCTGAGGCTGAGCCCTCAGTCTTTCACGGGCAGTACCTTCAGGCTGAAACACTACTTGAATGTTAGTTTCCTCTTACTATCCTCCCATCTCCAACCTCATTTTTAATTAGTAGGTCTCTGAAGGTGTGCAGTGTTATGTTGGAGTAGAGGAGTTGAGAAGGGATGCAATGGTCTATGAGTGATTTTGATGTGCGCTCACAATTTTCCATTTCCCAAGCACGACAGCATGTTCTGCATGCACAGCAAAGGCATATGTCCCGGCAATGTGAGTGAGCCTTTAAGGAGGCTGCCCAACTTCCTTTGCATCACTCCCTGGCAGCCTGGCAGAATGGGCTAAATTCACAAGTGACCTAAAAGGAGGAGGGGATTTGGAAACAGATCACTCAGCCAATGTGAAGATGGAGGAACAAACTTGGGAGCCCAAGGTAGAAAGGAAGGTTATAGTAAGAAATGTAATCGGAAGGCTTCTGCAGTTAAATTTATCCTGTCTTGAACTCTAGGATAAGTTCTGCTGCTGCTACCACCTAACTCACTCTCCACGGCACAGAAGCTACGAGAAGCATTTGCTCATGTGTCCTTTATAATGTGATTTATGGCATGTCTGAATTTGATCTACCAGCTCATGGCTGAGGATGGCTCTTCTGTTTTTGTCATATCTAGCTGTAGGGCTGAGTCAGCTTCCACTTCGCTTGCAATGACTTCTCTTTGGCTAAATAAGCTTTCATCATGTCAAGGAAAAAGAACTTTGCCAGATATCAGCGGATTCATGAGGACTTTAAACTGCACAGTCTGAGACTTTAGACCACTGCATTTCTTTCTCAACACATACTCTGATATAAGAGAAGGGGAAGCTCCACTGAAATTAAGGGATGCACACCAGAGCAGGCTCCGTGATAATGGTGAGCCATGGCAGCCTCGTGTACACATCTCAACTGGTGTTCAATGGGGGCTTAATTGCCTTTTGATTTTAACCAACTCCAGGAGATAATCCAAACAGTGAAAATGAGATTCTGGCTAGAGCACAAGTGGTTGGTGAGTGCCATCCCT